TTTTGTTTTGGGCCAGGCCAAAAATAACGATAAATTGAGCAGATGTCACCGAGCAAGAGGAGAGAGGCCGAAACTATCGGACTGAGTTGAGTTATAGTTGGGCCTGATGTGTGGCTTTCAGTTACCTGCTCGGGAAGTTGGCCAGGTCTCTCGGTTGGCATATCGTCGCCTAATTTGTGGAAAATTGAGATTTATGGCCACCAATTCGATCTGTTCGTCTAGCTCTTAAAGTTTTCAACCAAATTAAAGAAGAATCAAAGGGCAGCGGATTATGCAGAACTCTGGTAATTATGATTAATGACCGGCTAATGACTGTTTTCGCCCTTCGCTGGCATATCAATGTCACACATCAGCAAATTTCGCAGCTTAACAAAGTTGCAAATTTATTGAAATTTTCCGAAAAGCAGAAAGCAATCAATACTCGATATTTTCTTTTCAGTAAATACATTTAAATCCTAACATATTGCTGCTTAAAAAAGGAGGACAAACATTACGACAATTTCACGCTACAAATGTTTCGATTAAAAATTTTCCTTTTTTTTTCTTTCATTCGATTTTTTGCCAATGTCGTTATGGGGTTGCCAATAAAGAAACCACACCCCCGTCCTCATGCCATCATCCACCCCGCCCCGGTCATATGTGCAAAATGTAAGTAACGGGGAAAACAAAGTACGGCGGATAGCAGAGCGGAAAGAGCAGAGGGAATACGGAGTAAGAAATCCCCGGCAGCCACTCGCCGGACTCCATTTGATATTTGCTGAAGCACGACAATGAATAATAACTACACGGAATGCATATGCTAGCAAAAAAGGACGAACCCGGGGAAATCCTAGAAGGGTTGGGTGGAGCTGGCTTGCAATTTAAGGATTTTCCCTTTTTTAGTATTTGATATGTGACTGATTGAGGGGAGGTTATCGGGTTGGGATGGTATTTATTTTCGAATAAAGGTTAGATGTTATTACTGTAGATATATTACTGTAACCCCTTCATCTAAGAATAAACTATTAATGTAAGATATCATATAAGAATCATCTGATATAGATAATCTCTTTAGTCCAGAAGAAAACCACTAAATTTCTATCTTAGAAATCTTACCACATTGCAATTACTTAAAGTCACCTGCACAAAAATTGCAATAAAACTTTGCCAAATATTTTATATCAGAGACAAAGCCCCTGACCTTTGTATACCTTCTCGTGATGCTGTTTCTGTATTTATTTGCCATTTGCCAGAGACTTGTTTCATATTTATCAACGTCTGCGGCAAATAATTTTATTAACTTTTGCGCAAAACTTCAGCGATGCAATCGTGGGATTGGAAGGAGAGTGGACTGGAGTGGAGTGCAGTGCAGGGAAGGGTCAGACAGACTGTGAACTGTTCGCGAAAAGTTGCAGTAGGTACAGTTTCGTCGACAGAAGGATGAGTTCGGAGAGACTAGAGCAAGGGACAAGTTTGCAATACTGGCACAACACTATCTGGAGCGCATATTTTATTATTATCCTTTCGCACAAATAAATATACTTTTGCGCAAATTACAAAAGAGCGCAACTAACTGGTGACTTTAAGTTGCAAAGGCAACTATATCTATGACCGTTTCGGACTCCTCGGTTCTCCCCTCCACAATCTCCACTTACTGGGCTGTGCGACAAAAAAGTTTCGTCCAGATCTAATCAAAAATTCACTTAAAAAGTTTGCACTGCCAGTACGAGGCTGAATGACTTCAAGTGCAACCTTGCCGTTGGTCGGGCATTGTTGCAGCTCCTTTGTTGCATTTTACAGGGACGGAGAATGGAGGAAGGCAGGACTTCCACGGCCGGCACTTAATGAAATCTTCATCCTGAGCCAGGTCCTCTTGGCCAAGGATTGTAGTAAATAAAGGCGGGGAATAGTCTGGAAACACCTAGCGAGAGATGGGTTAACTTCTAGGCTGTTTCTTCAGCAATAACTATACGTAACTTATATTTTCTCTATTTGATGTTATGATATATTATATATTTGGAACAACCAAATAGGAGTACTGATTGAAGTTTGGCAATCCGTCCCCCAATCCTTCTCCCAGGAAAAGAATCCATTAAGCACCACTTCCATTGCCCAATCGAACACTCCACGAATGGAGCACTCAGCACAGATTAAGTCAAATCCTTAACCACAACAACGACTCCACTTTGAATACAGTGCTCCGGAATCCTTCGATGCAAATTGCTGCACAATCAACGGCAATCGACAACAATGCAGCAGCTTGAAAATCATTTAAAATCCTTTAAACTTCGCTGCCACAGTGAGTGACACAAATGAAGTGTCAATTTTAATATCCCGAATGCAGAAATAAACCAGCAAATTGAGCAGCCCGAGGAGGTGGAGCTGGAGTCTGCCAATCTCCTGGGCACAACAATAGCCCACCCGCCCTTTTCATTCTCTTTTTGTTAACACCCTCCCCCGCTTTTCCTGCTTTTCCGGCACAAATTGCATAAAAAATTTCGCGCACACTTAAAAAATTTTCAAGTGCAGTGCCAAAGTCACCGACGAAGCAAGGTGAAGGTGGGTGGCTGTCTGGCTGGCTGGATTTTGGTTCATTTTTGCCCTTTTTCCTACTTTTAAATTTGCACAAAATTGCAAATAACTTGCAATCAAGGTGCAAGGAGTGCGGAGAAGGCAAGGGACTGAAGGGGCAAGTAACTTTTGAGTCACAACACAAAATGGCGAAGCCTGAGCAGAGTTTCATTTCGCTGGGAACGTCTGGGAATCAATTTAAGTTAACTCGAGTCTATTGTTTCATCGCTGTTTGGTTCGCTTTAAGCTCTCCAGACCCGCTCCGTACTTCCGACACTCCCCTCAATCTCCTCCAGAATCCTGAGCTTTTGTCGTCAACTAAGGAATTTTTATGAGCTGCCTTGCCGTCGTCCTTCTGTCTTTCGGTTTTCCGTCGCGCCAACTTTTAGTCCCGTCTCCCGCTTGTTAATATTTCACCTAGATTGATACAGCAAAAAAAAAAAAAAAACCAGAGTGGAGGTATATATATCTATATATATATATAGGGGAGCGGATCAGGGATCGGGACATCCCGCCAAGTGGCTTCGTCGTGGGCACAAAGCAGCTAGGAATTTCATTATATGCACCCCGGGCCAAAGGACAAAGACATGTTTTTAATAGTTTCGCATGTTTGTGCAGCAGGCTTTTTTCTTTTTTTTTTGGCTCCATCCTAGCTGGAGGAGCCTTTGGCCGCTTTTAGTTCCCCCTTTCAGTTCCGATTGTGTGCAGTATGCGCAAAGTTTGGCCAGATTTTTGCGCTTGCATTTTGAATAGTTGCATTTTTTAGCAGTTGGTGGTGCAGAGCATAAATTGTGAGCCTGCCAGGGGTTAATAGTAATGAGTTAGGGATTGTGTAGGTCGGAAAACTATTCAGGGAGAGCTCAACAAAGCAGACTTTTAGGTAAAGTTTAGGTTCCACTTTTTCGTTTTTAGTTAGAAAGAAGATTTTTCTTAATACAAATTAACAGTTTAATCACAAGTTAAATGAGAATAATTCCCCATCTAACTTACAAAACCTTAAGTAACCTTCCAAGATTATTATTCTCCCCCAGAAGTAGGCAGCAAAATGGTTAACCTTTTTATCAGACATTTTAACCGGTTCTTCCCGAAATCTATCCATCGAATTCTAAGAGGGAGAACCTTATTTATGAACACAATTTCGGGGCGTAACTCAATCGAAATCGAAACCTTGTTGCACATCTATTAAGAGCAAATGTCAAAATTAATTGGAACACGTACGTTGGGGTTCACTTGTTGGCTCCGTTTAACCCTTCCATCGATGTGCCACATTAACTTTCGTTTTCAGCTGGCTTTGCCCCCGATTTACTTTCTGTTCCTTCAACTATGTTTTGTGGGCGTGGCCGGGGGCGTCTGGCAAGTCTGGGTATACTTTTGCAGCGTCATCGCATGATTACGTCGATTTTGGGGCCAAGTAATCATCTGGTGCACGAACACACACCCCTAAACCGATTCCGATCCCAATCCCAATCCCAGTATCCCATTACCCAGACTAACATTTGGATCAGGAGTAGGAGTAGAAGGTTGGGAAACGGAATCGGTGGCAGGACCGGACACAATTATCGAGACCAAAAGGGCTTTCAATTTCACTTGGTTAGCTGCAAGTAAACAGCTTTGCAGCTCCTCGTTGCCGGTTGGCTTTGGGCGGCGCTCAAGTCAAGCATGCAACCACCGCAAGCGGCACGCAAACGCATCAAATCAATGAAAGTGCCCGGCTATCGATGCCTTTCCAGGACTCCCAACTCCGGCTCATTTGACCACGGTTTGCACTTCATTGATTCGCCCAAGAACGGAGGCAATTGAAATCCAAACGGCACAGAGAAAGAAAATCATTTCTTTCTGAAAATCGTTCTTAGAATTTTCAAATAAGAAAAATCCTTAATCTTTAAAATCTTTACAGCCGATATCAGATTTTTCAGATTTTGTTAAAGAAAATTATTTCCCCATATGAATGAAAAAGAGAATTTAATTTTAATTTAATTTGAGTTCTTGCAGTGAAGCCAACAATGGTTCGATCTCGACTTAAAGCATTTTCCATTCGTTTTATTTTCCACCCACTCGAATGCATTGGGTTTATGAAAATGAAAATTGCCAAGAAAATCGAGCAACCAACAAAATTCTTTCGCCCCAGCTCAGTTCATATTTTTCATTATTTTCCTTTTGGAATTTTCGGGCTTCGTTATTGCACTTGTATGAACTTACTGGGCCAAATGCCCTCGATGCACCCTCCCCATCAGAAAATGCATCAAAATATTAACTCCCCTCCGTGCACTTGGCATGATTTAATCGGAATACAAATCGCTTATCAGCCAGAAGAGAGCAATCGAAAACAACCTTAGAAGTAGGAAAACAAAACCTACAAGCTAGTGGAAAATGATAAGGGAAAAATGTAGCTGAAAAATTGTATCTTCCCAAAATGTGTTAAAAATATTCAAATTCAAGAAGGTGTCTAATTTGCTTTGCGATAGCAAAAGTCGACAATCACGACAATCACTTTTTAATGACCCCAAATAAAACAAATTACGTTTGAAATAAAAAATGAAAAAACATTGATAAGAGTTTGTACTGATAGTTGTGGTGAAAATATGAATACTCACTAGGTAAATAACAAAGTCTAAATACAAATCACATCTCCCAATCTGAGACCCCATAGCACTGTGATGAAGCCCATTAGTGCAGCCAAAGAAGTTAGACCTCCGGATCCATTGCACGCATCCGGCGATTGCTTATCCCACGCTATTTGGGAACCCACCCCGTACTTCTCGGCCATGGACTGGACGAAGTCAATCGTCTGCTGTTTTAGCTCTCGTTCCCGGGTGAAGAGCTTGAACAGCGGAACTGGCGAGATGCTGCCGTATCCGCAGACAAAGGCGAAGTTATCATAATCCGTGTCCACCAGCTTGTAGGTCACTGTGACCACATCGAATTGGAGCTTAAAGACGCCGGATTGCGTGGAGTTGTCCCAGGGAAAATCGACGGATTCCTTTGTGAACGACCAATCGTTGTTAACCGTACTGATGAAGTTCAAGTCCAGAGATAGCGTGTTGTTGTCACTGACTTCAGCAGGAACGGAGACGTTCAGACACTCCAGCACCTGGACATTGGGCACTCGAGCAGCCTCATACCAGTAGCCAGATAGCTAAAATGATTAAACGAAATTTAGCTCATGCTTTTTAAAGCTAAGTCTTAGTTAATATTCCAGACTTAAGCTCCTTGAATATTTCTTTATAATACTTTTTAGATCCGATTTGTACTCACTCGTGTCAGGTTAAATGCTTTTCCAATGGTTTCATTCCGGCAATTAAAGGCACTGAGCGCTTTAGGAACTGTTGGCATCCTCATGCGACTTGCGCTAACTTCCAGCGGGTTTCCACAGCAGCAGAGGACTATCAAAATAGTCCAAAAATAGGTTTTAGCTTGCATTTCGATCTGTTTACGATGCCGAACTCTGGACAACTGAAAGCGTTGTCAATCCGTCATGAGCTTTTCGTTCTCTAGTAACGTGCTTATCAGTTGGGCTGACTTATTAATGAATACATACATATAATATAATAGTAAATAAGTATTGGAATTTGTATGTGGCATGAGTCACTTTCACTGATAGGAATTACACTTCTATCAGACTTTCTTATCATTAGATTTGCACTGGCATTTATTTTTGAAGTTATCCTATTTTCTATGAATTACTGTTTGTACTCACGAAAGTTTTTAATTCTTAAATTATTATTCCTTTTATTTTTAGATGTTTGGTTTTAATGATTAGTTTAGTTACATTATTTAATAGCTCCCCCAAATTGAGAATCCGCAGAGGAGGATAATAAATCCCATTAGAGCAGTCAAAGGGGCTTGACCACTTGATCCATTGGACTCACTAGATCCACTTGAATCACTCGATGCACTGGATCCACCGCACTCTTCCAGTGATTGCTTCTCCCAGCTTATCAGGGATTGATATCCATACTGCTCGGCTTGTGTGTTGATCATTTCGTAGACTTCCTGACTGACCTCGCGATCCCTAGTAAAAAGCTTGAATATTGGTATGATCGAAGAGCTGTCGTAGCCGCAGATTACAGCAATGGAAACGTAGTCCGTGGTCACCAGCTTGTATGATATGTCTACCGTGTCCAGACTGGCAATCCCATATTGCGTTGAGTTGGTCCAGGGTAAAGTGACGACCTCTTTGGTAAGTTCCCAACTATTGTTGTACGTGCTGACATAGGTCAAACCCAAGTCTAGACTGTTGTTTTTAGTCTCTGCAGGAATGGAGACATTAAGGCACTCCACTGGGACCTTGGGAATCCGGGCAGCTTCGTACCAGTAGCCGGCGAGCTGATAAATTAATGGAAGTTTTATAAAAGAAGTTCTAGGTTTCTATGATAAAATCATATGCAATTTTTCTCACTTCAGTTAGGTTGAGTTTGAATCCTATGGCTTCGTCGTTGCACTTGAAATCTTGTAAGTTTTCCGGCAGCAACTTAAGGACACTAGCTGTGGCTTTACCTCCACAGACACTCAAAGCGACGAAGAGTGTCCCTAAAAGTATTTTAGCCAGCATATTGAACCGATTGCTTGAGAGTTAAAAGACAACTACACGCAACCTCAATTCTTTCTACGCTTTTTAAGCCCTTCTGATGAGCAATGACTTATCTTTAAATAAATAATAAATAATTGCTCGCAACAAACGTACATATTTGCCCTAAATAACTTTCAACTTTATAACAATATATTTTTTAACGATATTTGCACGTGTAGTTTTCTTTGAATTCGTCTTTTTATAGGTTATTAAATTAAATGCTTCCTCACCATGAAAACAAAAAAAAAATATAATACAAATACTTTCACACCTTAAGATTTTAGAACTCCACACGCTTGTCTTGACTGAACATTTTTTACTTAATGACTTAATGCAAATAATTATTCGACTTGTATGGCTCACAATTAGTTGTAAAAAAAAGCGAAATAGTTTTTTATAATGATACCGTCATGCTATATTTCAGAAATCATAAAACTTGCCAGGCCAACTTTTCGCGTTGGAAAAGAAAATCACTTCTGCGGGTCCTGAAGTGAAGTCAAAAGCTTTGGCGAACTGCTTGTAAAAATCACATGAAATTCGATTGTCGCTTAAAGTGAAATTGCACAATGTTTGCGATGAAATGTTGTCGCAGTAAAATATCGCTGCAGAGTTGCAGTTGCACTGTCCCGGCACTTGCAACTGCGTCCCGTTGTCCCCCAGATCCTGGCACTGCTGAACTGACGAAGATAAAAACGCAATCAAACAACAACAAAAAGACAAAAATGGCAACGGCATCTGTTTGTATTTGTGTGAGTGTGAGTAAATGCACTCGAGCACGCGCATCCAAGGAATCCGAAAGATACTCTGCCATCCGGAAGATACCAATACCCTGTAATGAGTTATCTTTCAGGAAGACCTAATTAGACCAGATTTATAGGCCAGTTTATAGACATTCTATTGGTGCATTCATCGTTTACAGTTCTTTTATATCATTTTATTTAATTAAGCTCCCATTTTCGTGTTTGTCATGATAAAACAGCAATTTCGATGGATCCCATAGATAGATCTGAGATAAGATAAGATTGATAAAATCAATCAGACAGACGTTTCCCCGAGTCCTGTGCTCTAATCAGTTATGAACAACTTTCTAATCGCCATATAGAGCATATAGTGATAAGCTTTTGGTCAATAAAACAGGTGTGATTCACGGATATTATGCTGAAGGTGGCCAAATGGTCAAAATTGACTACTGATAAGGCAGGTATAAAAGTTCATAAAAGGTTTGATTAAACAACCGTATGATTATGATAGATACCGTTTAGTACTGGAAGTAATAATTGATTGTCCTATGATTACAAAAAGCAAATCTTCAGCTGTGTCAGCTTATCAGTACTTACAATTCAAGATAGGAAATAGATAGAGTTATTCGTAGAAGTGAAACTTAAAGAAAAATGCACATTATATAAAAGTAATTGTCAGATAATGTTATCTTTAAGATTAAGACATTATCTTAACTTATGCTTAAATAGATAACTCAGCAATATCTAACAATTTTCCGATGTGATACTCCCGTTGCCCTATAGGGAACTTGCAAATGGATAACTCGGCATCGACATCGCATCGATTGTCGTTGCAGCGCTGCCAAGTTAACTGTGTTAAAGAGTTGTCATTGTGTTGTTTGCAGAGTTGTCGTTCGTGCGTGTCTGTGTGGCTGTGCATGTGCATGTGTGGGTTGGCTTTTGTAACTGTAAAGATATTGCAGCTGCAACGTGTTGAAGTGGCGCCTCGGTAAAATTGTGTCAAACTGTGATTGCATTTTTGTGACTGACATTCAATTGCTGTGGTGTTTGGCTTTGCCAGCTCTCGCCATGTCCTTGTATCCCTTAACATCACTTTATCCAGTATACATATATACCCGCCTCTTTTGGGGCACGTGGGCGTGGTCCAGTTTAGGCCCTATCACTTGTCAGTTTCAGTCGAACAGTTAACATTCCCTCGAGTGCTATGAGGGTATTTGACAGAGATCACTTATACAGTTGTTTCTCTGGAGTTACAGCTCATAACTCCCGCTTAATTATCGAATATTTGGGAGGGGGGACGAAGAGGGCTTCCTGCTAATCCCAGTGACAATCCAGCCACCCCACATTGGCTAGAAATCTCAATAAAGACCCAAGAGTCGCGCAATTAACTGAGCGACCCGCTAAAAAACTCCCCAATAATGGAAACCCCTTAGCAAGCCCAGGAAAAACAAAAACAACCAACCCATCCCACCCTTCGGTTGCACCTTGCTTTGGGCTTTCCTTGTCCGGATACTTGGGCTATGATTATTACTTATGATAATTCAACTTGACGGCGCAAAAAGAACTTGACACCACCACCGAAAAGGAAAGCAAAATGCTGCCAAGACAACACCGAATCGTTGGACTTTGGGAAAACAACCCCTGAGGGGTGAAAATGTGGGCAAGTGGGTTTTATGTTCCGACGACTGCAATCGAGTCTTCCGCTCCTTTGTGGCGGCGATTCCCTGGGCGAACATGAAAAACTCCAACTGAAATGAAACTGTTGCGTATTTTGCATTCGGGACAGGGTACACGTCCTCGTCCTCGTCGTCGTTGTCGTCGTCCCCCTCCTCATCCTTTTTATTGTTTTCCATTTTCAGTAGCTGTCTTTTCCTGGTTTTCTGGGGGTGCGAGTGCGTCGCATTTGCACCTTCAATTAATATACTGGCAGTCTGGGCCAGAGACTTTAGCTTCAACCCTCGTTCCCCTGACTTTTGCTCTTTTTGTGATTTATGAGGGTGCGATGGCAAAACAAAATTAAGCCAGCGGACGAACGACATTTGGCGTCAGCATCTTAGCCGGGCTTTCCCAGTCCCATGTTGGCCACAGAGGTTTGAACTTTTAATTAAAAGTCACTTTTGATTTATAATTTGCAAGCATTTTCAAGCTTTGCATAAACAAAGGGCGAGTGTTTGTTGTCCAGAGTTGACAGACATCAATGCGAAGGTGTGACCAAACAGAGTCGTCATTCTGGCAGGGAGATGAAATCGTTGGTTCTTACTATTTTAAACCTTGAATAATCGCTTTTTAAACGCTTGTGTTTGTGTATTATTATTTATATATTAAATAGTAATGAAACATTTTTACAAACATTTACTTAATGATAACTAAGACTGTACTTTCAAGGTAGTTTCATGGACTAAAACAAAAAGTCAACTAAATATTTCTTAAGTGCTTTGAGCGAGTGAAAGTTTGATTGTATCTTCAAAATCGGATTTGAATCTAATGGCAACAGACTGTATACTATACTTTGATTTCTCAGTTCATAAGTCGTATACGAAGCTCTGCAGAGTCGGCATTCCCTGCCCATGAATTCCGGAGAAGTTCATGCCACAATGGATGCGTAAAAAAGGAAATCCACCACGCATATTGGTTACCCTGACAATCAAACGTTTGTTGCCATATTGTCGGAGACGCACGTGACGCCCAAAAGCAGATTCATAAAGTGATGCCTAGTGACGCGTGTCCTGTGCATAATCGGGATTTGCATGCATCAACTGGAACTGTAACGGCATTATGGCCCAAGGAAATACATCATCAAAAGGAGTCGGACCAGACTTGTCTGGTCCATCTTCCAGACGATACACTGGCAGAAAACAAGGGCTTAGTTTTTAAAGGAATGAATGGTTTTTTTTCTATAAACTGTCTTAAATAAACCTCAATCAAATGAAAAAATGTAATAAATTTCAATTAATTGATTAAATTTCCCCCTGTGTACCATTACTCAAAGAATCGGGAGTCACCCGTGGCAACCACCTTTCTGAAGGATGCGTTGCAGGTCCTTTGATGCGTAAACTGTTTGTGGCAAATAAAGTGAGCCTCGGGGTGGGAAGGACAACTCATCCTCCGGTGACAGCCGGCAACCAACCTTGACAACCGAAAGTTGCATGCGCTGCACATTGCCCTTAACCAAACCCAAACGCGTGTCCTTCTAATAAGCCTAATGCATGGGAAAGCGAAAGGAGCAGGAGCAGGGACAGTAGCAGGGGCAGGAGGTCACACCAGAGAGCAGACAATATTGGTAATATTTTAAAGTGGACCCGAGCACACGACCCAGACGTCGCTTGTTGTCATAAAGAGACCTTTAATTAAATTCATATTTGGACACACAACATTGCTGATTTATGATCGAGGAGGGGGTGGTAAGGGAGACAGGGGGCTGGCCGCGTGTCGTCATCCATTGAAAAACAATCATGGGAGTCATAATTGTTTATATTGCCTAGCATTAATCTAATTGGATTGCCATGGAAGTGTTCATGGCAGCCAAAAAGAGGGATTTCCAATTCAATCTAATAATCTAAATTTTCTCTATAAAAAAAGGGGGATCTCGGTCACATTTTAGCACTTCCATCACGATCTTCGGATGAAGTGCATGCCTCATTTTCAATCTTCTCCACAACTCACCTTGATTTTACAATAATAATATAATTTGCAGTCGCAGCTCGGACTGCCTTGGGAAATGCATCAGGTAATCTACGCCTGACCCGCTGCCAAGACATGATTGCCAGAGGAGAGCCATTTGAATGGGTATCCCTGTCCCTGGCTGAAAGCATCTCCGGCATGTGTTGTTCATATTTGCATAAGCGTCAGCCCCGAGCATATTGCGTCCTCCCTTTGATGTCCGCCCCCTGACCTCCTGGTCACCTTCTACCCGTTGCCTTTGCCGCTGCTGCATCATGGTCATCATTACTCAACTCCTGGCTCCTGAGTAAATACTCGTAGCGGGCACTTTACGACCTGGACCGGCTGATGGGCGTGGTCGGGTATAAGGTAATGCATGGCGCTTGTCCGTATACGGAGATGGAGATGGCCGTAAACAGCAACTGCACATGCTGCTGTTGCTTCTGCTTCTTCTGCTGCTGCTGCTTCTGCCATACGAAAACGTGCCGAGCATATTGAAATTGCTCACCGAAATCCAAAGAGCTGCCTTCTACCTATATGCATTGGTGAAATTTGAAAAATGGTCAAAAGTTGTTTCCTGTTTTTACCTGGA